CAAATGGCCAGCCAACCGACCACAAAGAATTAGCAACAAGAAACTTTGGCAGGGAACGAACCAACCAAGAGCCTAGGAGAAAATGGAGATGGATTGATCGGGTATACGTTGAGGAAACCATCGCTCGAGTGGAATCCAAATGGGAAGTGACGAGTGGGTCTTCCGGTGGTGACATGGAGAAGGTCATACTGTGGTGAGAGCTAGCTGCTAGCCAAATTGGTAGACAGTAATTTACGTCAATGTTTACGTCCTCAATATTGGTCGTGAGAAAAATAAGAACAAAGACTGATTCAACAACCAGTCAGAGCAGACTTTGCGTAGGCGGATACAATTTGCAGATAGATAATGTGAACTTCAATAAACGGCCACAAATGGATGAAAGATTGACGTTCAGCGAGAAACCACCAATCAGAAGACTGTGTTTGTTTGCTTACAATAATCTATAATAATGTACATGAAAATCTATAAATATCTGTTGATTTCGTAAATCAACGATCTGTTGCCTGGCCCTTGTCTTCTGTTGTTACAATACGAGAAGAGATGAGAGATTATGGGCAATCATGGACCCAGCTGAAGAGGATGGCAGAAAATAGGAAAAAATGGAGATATGTTGTTGAAGCCCTTTTTTACACTCGGAACCCAAGGGAATGATAATAATGTTTATTCAGAACTCTGAATCACTACAGTGAACAACTGATTTCAATAAATTCTTCTTTACGATCTGTAATTATAAATCCATTAGTTTTAGCATACAAATTAGCATAATATTGCGTAGTACGCGTATAAGATGGTATAATAGTCAGTGCGGTTTGATTATCATTCAATAAAGCGGAATGCAAAAGATTATGTAAATACAATAAGAAGTTTAAAAAGCAATACGTTAACCTTGGGTAGCAGACATAATAAAAGGTTTGAGATAAACAATTTTCAATAAAAATGAAGGGGGATAGCCGTTTGAAGTGTTAATTATTCGATGTTTACGGAGGATCTATTGACCTTAATATAAGCGAAGTTAAACTAAGCAGCTGGACATACTCCCTCTGGATACAGAGACCAGATGTTAAATTGATTGCTATCACTCTAGCTACTGATAGAAGACGAAACTGAGATCCTCCAGACAGATTACCGGGGACACGGTAGATCACCGAGGACGTATACTCTGGTTTTATTAAATGTCCAGTATCTACCAAGTGGGCTACGATCGCATCGTTTACGCATTTTGCCGTCGTTTAACTCAACTATACAAGCACATGTGCGCGCATAGATAAAGCCCTCTGAGTATGATCTATGTAATTAGCCCCACAGAAGCGGTTGAACTCATAGATGCAGAACGATGAGGTCGTCATTAGTTATACCAACGGCACTTTCTGTTTTCATGTATATATTTCGTCAAAATCCAGTCGTTACGACTTTCCAAATAAGTAAAGTTATCAAAACACTCAGTGCTCACCTTAATTATTTTTTTAAAGAAAGATTGCATCCAGACCAGTATTGTTGCATAATATTTGACAGACTTGATGCAACTGCTATACTTATTCAGATAAACGAGTCAGTCAGAGTCTTGAATATTCATTATTGGGTAATAATACTGTAAATGTAACGGAATAATTGTTCGAAAGATCCTTCCTGAACGATCTCATTACAGTACTGATACTTGCTCGAATGTTTCAATCAACTTTGTACTTACCTTCCTCTTTTCTCTTGCTTGGGTTTCATGTGAATTTTCTGACATATGTTGACTCGATCTTTATTTATGTGTCTTTGTTCCTGTTTAATCTCTAGTTTTAATGCTTCTCTTTGAGGTTGTGTGTGTGTGTGTGACAATGTGCTGTTTTACGATGGGATTTTTTCTGACTGAATCAACGTCATTCTGACCTGTCTATGGGAATTGTTAGCGCGTGATTCTTGTTGACAGAGTTTTGATCCCACCTTATTGAGAATATTCTTCTTGATTCATAAGTACTTCTTAATTTGGTTAAATAATTTTGTTTTACAATACTTGTTTGATAATTGAAAGTTCTTTTAACTGTATAGCAACTAACTAACTGTCTAACGGCATTGTTCACATAATTTTGACTATATGACGTTGTTGTTATTATTATTGTTAAATAGTACTGTAGATTTCATTTCAAATGAGAGTGTCTTATTGCTGTTGTTGAGACATTTTATGATTGCGCTTAACTCAAGGAAATTTCAGGCTAGCGAGACAGCAGGACGCATAGATTAGTTTCCTGCGTTAAGACCATAACATGTGAGTTTTAGTCGCTATAATAAAGCTATCGATAGTATTATAGAAACATTCTAATCATACTCGTTGTTAAGAAGTTAGATATTGACAAGGTATATTGATGTAGCGAAGTGATTAAACTTCTTTATACTTGCTGATTTGAAGCGTTCAGTTCCAAAGATAAAATAATGTTAATGAATGATGGTCGAAGATATTGAATTGGTGTGCGTACCTTTCTTATATATACAGCAACTATAAAGTTTATTTGGGTAATAAATAATGAGATAGTGTACTACACTGGTTTTCTTCACTTAGTATAGACACCTTCATGGCTTAAAAACATCTTATAGAATCTCTCATCTGCATATTACAGTTTGAATAAGCGAGACAGTTTTTCTCACTGGATATTTTTTATTCCTTTACGTTCCCAGTGGAACATAGAGCTTCAAGAAAGAGCTTTGAAGTTCCGGTAGCAGTGGTGTTTATTTTTACGGGATGGGGTTGCCAGCCTCACCTATCCCAACCTCCCCTCTTTACCAGTCTTATTACTGGCCAAGCGAGGTGAAGGAGTGCGTTGGCCAGGGATTGAACCGCGAACCACGTGAGACGTGGTTGACGAGTATTCTACCGCTGTGCCACCGACGCTTTTCACTTGATATGCTTATAAATAATTAAATATCCTAAAAATCTTATATCCTTCACTGCATGCTATAACAAACAGAGAAAGCCAAATGGGACGAAACCCAATCGGGGTACTCAAGTTCTTCCGATTTGTAAAAGTTATAGATTATGGTTTTGTTTCTCTGGGGTGACTGGAAAATAACTATAAAGGCTTGTATGCTGTTGTAGAGATAATCATGTCTCCTTTAAATGAGACAGTGATGATTAGTTGTATAATTTTTAATAGTCATTTTTTGAGACACCCAACTTCCCTTAAGTGAAACTAAAGTGTTTTAGGATAACAAATAGTTGATGGGTAAATCACATCTAAATCTTATCGACGTCAGCCAAAGATCACAACTAAATACAGAAGTTTTTACCTAGAAAACGTAGGGTTCTGCTTCATGAAGACTACATATTTAGTTGAACTAGTTTTGAAGATTACAACATCCTAGGCTTAGATTCTGAAACATGCTAAGAAAAAATATACAAATGTACCTACTAAGTGTGTTGGACAAATCCAATATAGTACTGGTTGATGTGAACGGCATACAACTAACTACTCACCTCAATCAATCAGTAGTATATTTTGTCACGCATCTATTTTTGTGCTCGCTTTCTCGATTACAATCTATGTCATCAAACAGATCACATATTGTAATCTGAATAATTTCAGTTTCCAACGGGCGGGGACTATGGTGAAAGTTCACCTCCTCGAACTGCGTAAATTGAGAATTTGATTTAACGTATTATCAGTTCGCTCAATTAACTACCCAGAAATCGAGTGGTTTGATCTTATTCTTCTCTTTGCGATAAGTCAAACCGCAGGTACACTGTACTGAGATCAGCTCAACTCCAAATGAGTGAAACGACCTACCTTGTGTTTGGATCACTTCGATCTGGCTGGTTAGCTAGCACACTACACTGGTTGAGTCAGTGGTGTACAACTACTCATTTCAACCACACAGTAGTATATACTTTTAAGCATTTTTATGATTGATTTCTTGATTAACCATTTATGGTGTCATATATATTCGGTTTCTATAGGAGACTACTGAAATTTCACCTTCTCGAACGGTGTAAATTTCGAATTTGATTCAATATTGGTAAATTTGTACGTTACATTCTCACAGGATCTTGACATTCGGAAGTTTGTCCACCCCCCTCTTTCTCTTTTTTGATTGGACACTAGTTAGTAACTAGTGTAATGTGTCTAGTCCTTTGAATGGTACAGACTGCATTCTATCAGTCAAGTTTGCGATGTGGCCACCATACATACGAGGTGGCTTGCCATCACGGTGCACTGTGAATTGTTGATATCAGATGCTTGGAGGTAATCGGCGGGAAACCTCACCTGACCTAGGTTTCGTACTACTTGGCACTCAACAGTCAACACCCGGCCGATAACTGCTACCTTGCCGTGGTGGTCCGGCTTGAATGCCGCAGTGACCCAACAAGCTAAACTGGCTGGGACTCATGTCCCTGCAGGTCCTACCATGTCAGGAAGGTTGTTTGGATAGCGGTTAGACTAAAAGCAGTTACCATGGGGTACATCGGCTCCAGAATTCAATCGGATCAAATGGCATATGAACCCATATGGGTCACCGGCAACCATGGGAACGCAGCTCCTGACGCTGCTCCGCTGCCTTGCGGATTAGACTCCAAGTCAAAGGCTCGGGGGTTGGTCCCTTAGGAAAACCACCTGCTTCGGTTTGGGCGCCGGGGCAGTATCTCAGCCCTCACACAATATTGTGTGGCGCATCTTTTTTGGTGCCATATTGTACCAAGTTTTTCTGCGTTTAAATAAATAAATACAACAGTCAACAAGGCGTATCTGCACCCAAACTGAAAGACCTCAGTGGTAACACCTCTGACTGCAGCCCTACTGGGTAACCCGAGTATTGAATCTCAGAAGGCAGGGACATGAGAATTACTTCAATGTGATTGCAGATACGTCTTTTTGAGACTGTTGAGTACCGAATAGCACGAAACCTAGTGTTTAGGTGAGGCTTCCTGCCAATTGCCTCCAATCATCTAGTACCTCTTTCTCTATCTACAACTTTCAAAGTACAGTAGAGTAAAAAGAATATATTTTTTTTCAAATCCAACAATTTAATCATTTTCATCATGGTCATCACATAAATATACAAACAGACAGAAATTCAACAACTTGACACCTGTCGTCATCAACATAATAATAATAATGATTACGATAATGATGATGACAGGTATACTTTAAATACTCTTAAAATGTTTTCATCATCAGATATAAGTTAGTAATAATAATAGTAATAATAATAATAATAACAATAAACTTTGTTTTGTCAAAAAGAATAACAAACATATAGACAGGCAGGCAAGCAAGCAGGCAGTCTCAGTCAGTCAGGCAAGAGGATTTCACTGTGTTGATGTTGTTTATATATATATACTTAGACAAACAACAAATAGGTTGGTTGTTAATCACTAAAATTACAATTATGACACAAGAATAAAAGAAACTGTGTATGTATGTATATGTATATAAGTATATGCACAATACAGAGTGAGTAATAATGATGGATGGATGGTTGGGCAAGATAACAACAATTATATCGAATAATATGCACGCGCGATTGTGTATGCGTGTGCAAGAGACAGTCGATATACAGAAGAATAAGCCTAGTTAGTGATTACAGAAGAAAGAAAGAAAGAATAAAGAGGATATTTTGTACAATTAAAATGAGAAAGAAGTCTTCCACACACACACACAGTGAAAAGATAAAACTATTGTGTTATCACACGAAAATCAACGAAAAGGGAAGGAAGGAAGGATTACTTATCGATAATTTGCTTATCAACAAAACAATTCACAATACAACTCACCAAGGGGAAAAACGAGAGAGAGAGAGATCAGTAAGTGTTCACACAGATACACTCACACACACACTACACCTGAATTAAACTTTATTGGAAGGACAACAACAGTGAACACTACTCAAATCCTTCCTATAGAGTACCACAAAGAGAAGAAAGTAAGTAAGGAAATAAGGAATATAAATATGTATATTTTTAAAAAATCTATAAAATTGTTATGGTATTTGCAAGTGTTTATTTTAATTTAATATAGTGTATCTAATCATCATCATTGATCACCACCTGTAGTTCGAGAGATAAAACGCTGTTTAACTGTTTCTTATTATCATTATCCTTATTACAATTATGACTACTACTATTATATCAGTAGTAGTATGAGGAGTAGTAGCAGGGTGTAGCGTAAATGCTAATTTGTAGATATCCGTCAAAAGACAACAACAACAACAAAATACTGACACACAAACACACAAAATATTTTAAAAAATGTTTTTTTGTGTGTGTATTCTCAAAAGGATTTAAAATAACTAACACCGTTGAACAGTAATAATGTTGAACACGAACACAAAGGAAAATATCAGTAAAAAAAACAAAACAAAAACAAAAAGACAAATGGATTAAAAAGGTAAATAGGTAGGTAGGTAAAACAAATAAATAGACAAAAAACTTAGAAATAAACAACTTTGATGTGATTGTCAATTACCAGCCGTTATAGATGAAAAAGGTAGTGAAGTCAATTATACTTTAGTAAAAGTAATAATAACAATAGCAATAATAATAATAATAATAATATACAAGAAATAGGTGAATGCGATCAGTTGTTATATGGCTCTTTGTAAATTCTATTGCTTGTTTTGTTATCGTTATTGTTGTTGATGCTGTTGCTGTTGGTGGTGGTCGTGGCGGGACTGGTGATACACAGTGTTGAGTAATAATATAAGTGAATATTATTTATTTTTATATAAAGGCTTTTTTTAATTGTTTACTTATTAGCTAACTGATGTACACGGAAGTGTAGGTGAACCCATTTGTCGTAATACACGATCAAGCCATTTTAAAGGACCATTTAAATGAACTTCTATCCAACATGGTGTACTAGTAATTGTTTGTCTTCTATAAATTTAATAAATAAAATAAATAGAATAAATAATAATAATAACTTTAATAGTACTGAATATTTAAATATAATGATGTTATTTTATGTGTAAAATCTGGGCATTGTAGTGTAATATGTAATTCTAAACTAACCCTTACAAACAAAACTATCGGAAATTAATCTGATGCTCGCTAGTGACTTGCAATAGGATGGAGTTTCCTGGAGTTCTAGTGAGAAGTCGTGACCAGTGAGGATGGATGTCCCACCTACGACAATGGTTGGGGTAGCGCTAAATCACGAATTGGCAGAAGTTAGAATTCATGGGCTGGCCATTGAATCGGGTCCCAGTGGCTGAATGGTATACGAGCCAGCTTACCTTGTAACCGGAAGGTCCTGGGTTCGAATCCCAGTGGTTGCGTACTGCCGATGATTCCCAAAACTACGATGAAACAGCTGTTCAGTACTCCAGCGCTGGTTTTCAATGGTTCTCTAGCTGATATCAATCCGTGATCAACTCGTAAAAACAAAACTAACCCTTACAAACCAAACTATAGAATATTAGATATATCACTGAATATGACGGTAGTACTTCAGTAAAAAGAAGGAAGAATGTCGGAAACTTTATGTAGAAGTGGTATTCACACTCACAAACTCATTTAGGGGAAAACTTTATCTGTTAAAAGATCCTGTGGAGTCCATTAAACAAAACAATTTAGTTTATCTAATACTCTGAAATGATTTTCACGTCAAATGAATAAAACAGGACCAATTAGACTAGTAGTGCCCAAAACCTAACAGTAAAATCTGGACGAATTGACTCGAATAAAATAAGAAATCTGGAGAATGACTCAGTTTTACCACGACATGCAATTAAACACAACCATACAATAGGATAATGGGATAAGATGACAGTCTTAAAATCTAATATAACACAGGATGGAGAGAGAGATCGATAATAAAGCTTTTATTTGATGATATTAGATAGTTGGAGGCAACTAGACACGTCACACTAGTTACTAGTGTCCAATCAAAAAGCTTTTATTTATCGAATCAACTGAAAATACGTGCAACTGAAATGATTCAACACCTGTCCACCCGGCGCACATCTGGAAAATTCTACGACCCTTACGACAAATAGTAAGGAATAAAGAAAACGATTTTCTGAACATGTGCCGGAAAGCCTACGTCTCAAAGGAACAAATAGCGCTATTACCAGACATCTCCTCGATACGGGTCATGAGGTGGAAATCGCAAAATCCTTTAAAATTATCAATAGACAAAGCAGCTCGATTCTCTTCAAGTTTGCCGAAGCAATTTCTATCAAACGCTTGGAACCAGATTTATGTGTTCTTTATTCTTTCTTCCATTTTGATTACGTAATCTTCGGCTTGAACCTCCCCCCTTTGACATAGTGTAATTTTGCTCGCCTCTTGTTTCTATGATTTCAGTTGAACTCAGTACATTGTTACCTAATTTATTAGTCACTCAGCATCTTACTCATTTCTCGTCTTTATTATGGAACTCATTTACCGTTGTATGCAAACATTTGTTTTGTTTAAGCTTGAACTGCCTGTGTAAAAATTATATAAACGTATCGAAAAAGTGAGTAGCTTCATTTCTCATACTCCACCCAAAAGTCTTCATGCACACTAAAATGTTAATCTGATACAACTACTTTTCCATCCTTCAGTGTCATGTTATGCGCACTGTTCATCTTTTATATCTTTTCCAACTAGTCTCAAGGCGAAGAGCAGAAGGTAAACAAACCGCTTAGATAGCAAGGTTAACATATCCAAGCTACTAAGGCTGATTTCACCCATAAAAAGACTTCAGAATTACTTTTATTTAGCGTTACCAGCGGATGCAAACACTCTAAGGGATACAGAGATGATTAGACATACACAGAGCCACTTCATATTCTCCGCTTGTGAAGTCAGTTTCCACACGGATAAAGCATTACTACATACACCTAAGCATTGCAAAGACATTGCAACCATCTAGGCGATGACCCAAATTGGCGTATCCAAAGGATACAAACAAATAAATACTCATTTTCAACCCATTTAATCTAACCCAATGTGTCTCATACTTGTACAATAAACTAAATGACATTATTGAGCAACGACTGAATTTGCCTAATTACAATCACCTGTTAGTGTTATTATTTTTTTATATTTTTGATTTACAGCTTGATTCCACACCGTATTTTCAGTACAAGTGTGGAATTTTCAGCATGGATATCGGTAGCCCAAATTCAGGCCGACCATAGATATCGGGCGTGCGCCGGCAGGGGATCGAACCCCGGACCATGTGCATGGTCGGCGAGAGTCCTAACCACTGTGCCACCGACGCGTCGGACTTCAGCCGTGCGTCTCCATTACGTTCGGTTCTCTGCTAGAGTCTTCACCTGGCTCCAAGTCTGCCCGCACGCTTTCATCTCCTCTTCACATGACCTCCTCCAAGTCACCCTTGCACTGACGACCAACTCACCGTTTCCCTTTCGGTCGGGTTCCACTCGAGCAATGGCTTGTCTAGTGATGTCACTTGATGGTTTCCTCAGAGTATGGCCAGCTAATCCATCCCCATTTCTTCCTGCCTATTTGTTTCACAATCGGTTCCTGGTTGGTTCGCTCCCAGAGATCTCTGTTGCTTATCAACTCTGGCCAGCCATCTGATGTTGAGTATTGAGCGAAGACAACTGTTAATGAAGGTTTGTAGTTTGTTTGAGATGCTCTTTATGACGCGCAGTGCAAGTCTCTCATCCGTATAGTAGCACTGACTGACTTCACATTGGAGTTGAAAATCCGGATTTTATTTTCACTTTCATTCTGAGTGCTGTTGACCTGCACACAGACTTGAGAGTAGTGAAAGCTTGTCTTGCTTTTCCGATTCTTGCTTTGATATCCTCATCAATTCCATCAGCCTGTAGTTGAAACGATGCTTCCCAGGTAGGTAAAAGAGGTTGTTTCTTTCAGGTTCCTTCCATTTATGCTGATTGTTGTCTGTTGTTGTTGCTGTTGGTGGTGTTGCCCAGGAATCTTCATCACCTACCTATGTCTTCTCTATGTTCACCAGAAGTCTTTTCTTTGATGCTTCTTCTGCCAACTTGTTGTTTTTCGCTTGCATATCTTCCAGTTTGTGGGAAATCAGACATATATCATTGGCGAAGTCCAGATCCTCCAAGTTTTTTTGTATGAGTCCATTTTATGCCTGTTTCCTCGTTGCCCGCTGTTTGTTGCATTATCCAATCTACTGTTAGTGTTAGTCTTATATTAAAGTGTTCACTTTATCTTTGTACTTTAGAATCACTCACAGAAGTATACATGAATGGATATTCAATAATATCTACTCAAAAACAATGTGCATGTTCATAGAATTTATTTCCCGCCTAATTTACTCCACCTAGCTATCCAAACCCCAGCAAGAGAAGCAATGTTTGAATTCATGATACAATAGTTGATACTCACATCAATGACATCGACAACGGAATACTGAGTTACTTTCTATCCTGCTAATATCCATCCTACTATCTAAACACTACACGTTTTATTTGATTATGAATTTTAAAGTGTTGGTTTGCAGGGATTTCATCGTTTACAGGTTTGATCACTGGTTGATATCAGTTACGGAACCACTGGGAAACCAGGAAGCATAGGACAGTTGTTTCACCCTAATTAAGGACTCTTTAGAGGTACGCACCCACCACCGGAGTTCGAACCCGGAATCTCCCGGTTGCAAGGTGAGATCTCATAGACGACTATTTAGCCACTGGGACCCAACTATGAATTTATATACATGGGACTAAGGCTTTAGTATTTGATAAAAGTAATATAAAATAAAAATCTATAACATGAGTAAAACAAATATTTAGTCATTGAATAGTAAAGTTGTGTAATTTGATCATAAACTCATATTTTTAACCTAACAAAGGATAAACAATTCAAGAAGTTAAAAACAAAACATAACTAAAGTGAATTAAACGATTCAGTATAACCGAGGCAACATAGAAACAAATAGTAAAGAATAGACATCAACATCAAATGACCTTGAACAGACCAATCAGATCACTCGTGCATTACAAATGGATCTTCGTTGCAAGTTTCATCATGATTCAGCGTTACAGTTAGGATGGGTTTAAAGTAGAGTTATGGTTAAAGTTTAGAGTGAAACTTGCAACGATGATTAGAGTTAGAGTGGATCTTCAGTCGAAGATTTTGAAAAGGATCGATCTGTAATGAATACTGAGAGATCTGATTGGTTGGTTCAGGGTCACTCGAGTTTAATGTCTATTCTTTACTGTTGACGATAACATTTTAGTTTAAAAATAAATTAGATAGTATAATCTTTTCCTAAATATTGATTTAAACAAAATGTAATACATTCTTTAAATAATATTAATAATTTCATGCCTATCAATGGCAAAACAAAGTGTAATAAATGATAGAATGTATACTAAGATTTTAATCCCTGGTTCTCATTGGCTAAAACAACCGACTTTTAAACAATGGATCTCAGCTTTGAATCTCGTTCCTCCCACACTACCCTCGGCAATTGTGTAGTATTATCAGCTTTTACAGAATAAGTGCGTGACCAATAGGCTGAGATAGCGTAAATCAGCCCCCTAACAAAGTAACCACAGATTTGCCATTTACGAATTCGTTCTGGATAAGGAAGAGAACTCAACATACATTATAGCTATCTGGCACTAGCGCCTACGAGCCTCAATTGATATTTTTTTCCCAAGGCTGATGGTATTTCTCATTTGCGTAGGATGAGGACTTTCCCTCATGATCAACTACTGGTTAAAAGCTGAGTTGTTCTCTTTGCGATGAATGTTTACGAATTTTAATATCATGTTGAACTTAAGTATTATCTTTATTTAACTCATTATTGTCACTTTTTTCATTCCTTTGCATTCCGCGGGGAAGATAAAGTTTCAAGCTTGATGTTGTTTCTATGCGGTGGGGTCTCATACCTAACGTTCTCTATATGCCGGACTTACTGTTAGCTAAGCGCGGTTTAGGAATGCCTCGGCTGGGAATGGAACTCAGACCACATGTATGGTTGACAAGCACTCTACCACTGGACTAACGACACAAACCTGCATTATGTTCAATTAATAAATAACGCTTGTAAATACACTAAACTCTAGAAGATCTGGATTTCTCAGATGATTTATGTTTAATGTCACACAAACTCGAAGACTTACAGGCGAAATGAAAAAAAACTGGCAGAAGAGGCGGGAAGCGAAGATAGGACTGCAGGTAAACACAGAGAAGACGGAGGTGATGAAGATAACCAATCAACAGAGACAACAAACAGCATCAATCACCACCAGGTGGAGAAATTTAAAAGAGGTAACTCCTTTCATTTATCTACGAAGTACGGTTTCAACCACAGCCAGAGGAACGGATGAAGATGTCGAAGCCAGAATTGGAAGGGCAAGGGGTCGACGAATGACATCGCACGCAATGCAGGTCAATGCTCGAGTGGAATTCCACTCGGAAGGGATGGGATTCAAACTCAGGGTGTGCCGGCTTAAAATCAAGCGTTTAAACATCCCAATCACACTGGTATTCTTCACTTCCTGTCTAATTTCGGAAAGTCGAATCACTGAACCAGTGAGCTTTCACTTGTAATGAACTGTGATCGAAAAATTTTTTTATTTGACATTATGATTTCTCCACTACTCATTCTATCCGGGCTGTATATTTTGTCTGAATATACAAACCTCTAGAGGTCAAGAGTAGGCACTTTAGGCGTAATACCGTATTTATGAAGTAGACTCATTTTACTTTTAAATATTTCAAATAATCAACTCAAACTTTGTCTAATAATTACAAGAAAAAATTCAACTTCAAATTAAAGTATACGCTGAGGATGTTGTCTAGTAAGATAACGAAAGCTTCGCAAGTAAACTATCTAGCTTTGAGAGCACAAACAAACAAAAATCATCCACCAAAGCTACAAATCTTCTCCATTATATCTAAGAAAAATTCAAATACATCAAACAAGACGATTTCCAAGTAACTATCTTACAATATTTATTAAATATTTTATAAGACGTAAGATAGGGGCAAATACTAAATGATAGTTAGTCCGGTGGAACTCCCCCTGTACTAAGCTATGAGCCACACTTATTACCCAAGCTGAAGTAAGCGGGGTGAGATTCGTCTGAAAGTCGAATGTTTAAGGCATGAACTACATTTCCACAATAGTAAGTGATAGGTAAAAACCCCATGCAGTGTGTCCATACGAAAAAGCAGAAATGTCAGAAGTTTACTCTTTTAATCAGAGCTGGGATTAGAATGTCATTTAAACACTCGTAGATACATTCAAGGAGAAGAAACCACTTAGACTAGAGAATCCTACATTCTCATTTCACAAAAGTAATTTAACCTACTATATACGACATAATGATTATAAAGTCAAGCACATAGGTTAAAAAAAAGAAGTAGGTTGAAGTCACTCAGAATCTAGGGAGACAAAAATTCACCTGAATATATTAAATTGGTAGACTTTATTTAAGATAAGTAACTCAGAATTCAATAAAAAGTGTATAATAATAATACGAGTGATTATATCCCATTCCTTCGTCTTCTGAGTGGAACATAAGGCTTCACCATTGAGTTTTGAAGTTTAAATGACGGCGGTGCTTTATTTTTACAGGATGGTGTTACTAATCCCAGACACAGGCTTCACTCTTTACTACAGGCTAGGTGAGATTTAGGAGTGTGTCAGCCAGGAATCGAACCCGAATCATGTGAGCGGTTAGCGAACATTCTCACAATGAATCATCAACCCACTAATAACGATGATAATAACAGCAACAGCAGATCAATTGGAGTAATATTATTGTTCAAACCGAGGCACACACTAATCCCTCATGATATAATCCTTTTTTATATTCCCCTTGAATAATGCATACTAGTATGTTTAAAACTGCTGTAAAGTATATATGAGTGCGTCGGTGGCACAGTGGTTAGGACTCTCGCCGACCATGCACATGGTCCGGGGTTCGATCCCCTGCCGGCGCACACCCGATATCTATGGTCGGCCTGAATTTGGGCTACCGATATCCATGCTGAAAGTTCCATACTTGTACTGAAAATACGGTGTGGAATCAAGCTGTAAATCAAAATAAAAATAAATAAATAAAGATTTTTATTGAATAGGACAGAAATAGGCAACTAAAACAAAGTGAGATAGAGTTAATTTGCAAAATGGGTAACTCAGTCACGATTTAATCAGACCACCAATATCAGTGCTTGTGTGTGTATGTGTGTGGTTATATAAGAAATAAATACACCAAATATACCGAAAAAACACAGTATTATTAGGAATACTCATTATCGGTGGCACAGCAGTTAGGACTCTCGCCAACCATGCAAATGGTCCGGGGTTCGACCCCCTGCCGACGCACACCTGATATCTATGGTCGGCCTGCAAAATTTGGGCTGCCGATATCACATGCTGAAAATTTCATACTTGTACCAAAAAGCACTGTGTGGAATCAAGCTGTAATCAAAATAAATTTTAAAAAATAAATCTATCTAGGAGAGGTACACTTTTATTCGTCAACTCAGCTTGTTTTTTATTCTTTGCCAACTGAATGAAACAAGAGTTTCACCGGTGGTGTTGTTCCTTTAAGAAGCAAAGTTACCAGCTTCATATCTAACATTCCTTTTTTTGTCGGGCTAGTAAACTGGGCGATGTTCAGGAGTGTGTCAGTTAGGCATCGAACCTGGATCTCCCCATGTGCCTGACAAATACTCCACCAATGAAGCACTAACACACAACTCGGTTTATATTATTATTTTACGAGTTGATCACGGACTAATATCAGTTAGAGAACCATTGAAAACCAAGGAGTACTGGACAGCTGCTGTGTCATCCTAGTTTGGGAATCATCGGGAGTACGCACCCACTGGGATTCGAACCCAGGACCTTCCGGTTACAAGGCAAGCTCGTTTACCATTCAGCCACTGGGACCCGATTCAATGGCCAGCCCATGAATTCTAACTTCTACCAATTCGTGATTTTAGCGCGACCCCAACTATTGTCGTTGGTGGAAATCCATCCACACGTGACTTCTAATTGGACCTCACTGGTCACGACTTCTCACTAGAACTGCAGGAAGCTCCAACCTGTAGCAAGTCACTAGCGAGCATCAGAATAATTTTCTATAGTTTGGTTTATAAGGATTAGTTATGTTTTACGAGTTGATCACGGACTGATATCATATATTATTATTGTCAGAATACACGACTTGACTGAATCACAAAAACAAAGACAATTTCAAGGAACTTTTCGATTTTCAATTGTTTTTAAAATACAACAACAATAGCGAACGAACATTGATACCCTTATAATAGAAAAAAAATTTTTTGTTTTAAAAAGACGAAAAAAACGCAAAACAATCATCTTACCTATAATCAGCTCCCCATCCTTTTACAAAACTAATACGGATAGAACACATATGAGTTAATGCGAATACAGATTCATAACTTCTTGACATACAATCAGCCAATTGACTAGCAAATGTTGTACTATCAAAAAGTTTCAAGTTACACTCTGAAAGAAATAATGGAAATAATAATAATAGAACAAGTTCACTTGCTAAATTATAAGCATAGATTTGTGAATTAGCAGGCAGTAATGTTATATGACTACCCAAAACTACATTGGATAAAATGCGATTCAAAATTATCAAAATCCGGTGTACAATAACATTCTCATAGGTGACAGCTGACTTAAGCTGAAAGCTAATCATTTGAACCACACCTCTCATTGTTCCTTTTTTTTTATTCCTTCACGTTCCCCAGTGGAACATAGGGATTCAAGCTAGAGGCTTGAAGTTTCTGTAGCAGTGTTTTTATTTTTACAGGATGGGGTTGCTAGCCTCATGCCCAACCTTTCCTCTTTACCAGCTTTTATTTCTGGTTTAGCGAGGTAAAGGAGTGCGTCGGCCGGGGATCGAACCTCGGACCATGTGCATGGTCGGCGAGCATCCTAACCGCTATGCCACCGACGCACTCCTCATTGTTCCTAGTAAGTGATTAATTTTTACTGATTGTTAAATTACCTCAGCAAAGATTTTTTCCTACTCCTTTGATGAATTACTCCACAGATAACTTCAAATTGAAATCTGGACAGTGACTGAGTGAAGATGCAGTACATTGGCTTAAGGACTTGATTTCCAGTCATTGGCTTTCTCCAGGTTCAAATGTTATTCCACCCACTTCAATTTAGACAACTAACTGGGTAGTATTATCAGCTCTGATAAATTAAGTGTGGCTTACGGTCTGATATATGAAAACACGATATATATTCTTTAGTATCAATGCATATAGACAATTATGGACATCAATTTGATTGGGATAATGTCAAAATCGTAGACAGAGGAAACACCAAAAGTGCGGTCATGGAATTCCTAGAAGCCTGGTACTCAAACGAAAATGCAATTAACAAACACGTTAATATAGACGAAATATACCAACTAATAAAAAGTAAATCAAGTGACCAGAAAGTTTAAAATCCAAGTCAATAGAAAATGGTCAATACATATGTAAAGATAGTTACCAGGAGACGCAATTATATCACTCATGAAGAAATTTAAATCATTTCACTTTGTGCTAAATATTGCGCTGACGATGTTGTCCAGAAGGACGACGAAAGCTCCGCAACTAAACCAACCAGCTCAGAGAACACTATTAATTGCAAATCATCCACCTGAGCTACAAATCTTCTCTAGTATGAAAACTCTATTCAGAGGTATTTGAGTCCTAACTAATCAGTCAGTGATTGAATCTAGTGGGTTTCTTCAGTAATATACTTAACACACCAAAATCTTGAATTGCTATTTTCAAGTCGAATTACTTTTTTGCTGTCAAAAACTAATAGCTACCTCATCCTTTACATCAAATTCATTTCTATCATGAACCTCACACGTAACTAAAGATCCTAAATAGTTGTTTGAAATACATATTAAAGTAAATATGTGATGAATTCATTAAGAAATATCATATGTTAATCAGGCTTCACATAGGTTTTATTTTGTGCATAATGTTAACCCACTGACTAACTGGTTTCAACGTAGAATTTCGCAAAGAAGTGCAGCAATTCGAGTTGCCACACTCCATGTAGCACACAAAGGAAGACGAAAGAGAAAACAACGAGATTCAGAAGAACGATAATAAACAGAAATGTGAGGAAGAGAAAATTGTAACAGAAAAATAATACGGTGTTTTCGATATGGCAGATCACAGACAGCGAATGCATTTGTGCCAGCCATTGAGAACGATTTTGAGCCATGTCACACCAACTGTCTCCAGCCACTGGTCTTTACCATCCAAAGGACCGCAAGCAGACAGCAGTGTACACCTCCTTACGTGACTGGCTGGCTTAAACTAACTGTTGTAGATTTTATTGACTGATTTCACTTTTTTGTTTGGCCACTACTAGCTGGCTCTTTTCCATTATGATACTAAGTCAACTAACATTGACCGTCGAGGAGGGCGATAGCTAGACATTCGCAACACATGTCCTAAACATCTCAATTGATGTAAATTTACAACCTCGTCGATTGATTTCCCCTCCCACCTACATAGTACTCGACGCCTAACCTCAATATTACTCATCCTATTATGTTTTACGAGTTGATCACAGACTGATATCAGTTAGAGAACCATTGAAAACAAGGGAGTATGGACAGGTGCTGTTTTATCCTAGTTTGGGAATCATCGGGAGTACGCACCCACTGGGATTCGAACCCAGGACCTTCCGGTTGCAAGGCAAGGTCGTATACCATTCAGCCACTGGGACCCGATTCAATGGCCAGCCCATGAATTCTAACTTCTACCAATTCGTGATTTTAGCTCAACCCCAATTATTGTCGTTGGTGGGACATCCATCCACACACATGACTTCTAATTGGACCTCACTGGTCGCGCTAAAATCACGAATTGGTAGAAGTTAGAATTCATGAGCCATTGAAACGGGTCCCAGTGGCTGAATGGTATACGAGCTTGCCTTGCAACCGGAAGGTCCTGGGTTCGAATCCCAGTGGGTGCGTACTCCCGATGATTCCCAAACTAGGATAAAACAGCACCTGTCCATAATCCCTGGTTTTCAATGGTTCTCTAACTGATATCAGTCTGTGATTAACTCGTAAAACAAAACTAATCCTTACAAACCAAACTATAGAAAATCATCCTATTATACCACCTAGCACAGGAGATAGAACGTAAACACCAATGATCAAAGACAGCTAGCTGGTCTTTTCATGTCTTCCACTCTCAATGGCCATGTTTCACAGCCATAAAGGAGGACGGGCGAACTGATGAGCAGTACACTCATCCTTTGATCGAAAACCGGATACCACGTCTACGTCAGAGATGGTGTAAGTCGGCAAATGTCACACGATCCTTCTCTATTTGCGTTGAGATTTCGTCAGCGATCAGCCCACTGAGGCTGATGTAACTCCCCAAATAAGTGAAGTGGTTCATATGCTCAGTCATTTAACTTCCTGTCTCTAAGCAAGGAGTTGGTACAGTTCAGTCGTACAGCATCGTTTGACATCTGACAAGAGCGACTTGCATGCTGAAAATTCGGAAATTTCTGTTCAAAGTGTTCATAAGTCCGCATTTTATCCGCGTCTTCACCTAGGAGGACTATATCACCCACATATTGCAAGTCTACAAGATTATTCCCTGGTGACAATTCAATCCTTAAGTAGCTGAATTCTTTTTTCTTTCTATTTCTTTACGTTCCCAGTGCAACATAGGGCTTCAAGCAACAGCTTTGAAGTTTCGGTAGCAGTGGTGTTTATTTTTTTACAGGATGGGGTTGCTAGCTTCACCTATCCCAATTTCCTCTCGTTACCAGTCTTATTAGTGGCCAAGCGAGGCAAAGAAGTTCGTCGGCCGGGGATTGAACCCAAAACCACGTGAGGTGTGGTTGACGAGCATTCTACCGCTGTGCCACCGACACTGAAGTCACTTAGGGTTAATTCCATTAGTACATCTATAATGAAATTAAACGGAAAATGGGATAATGGGCATCCCTAACGAACACTACTGCATAGCGAAATTGAAATATAGCACTGCAAAACACAATAACTGATAGCTAAATGTAGACTAAAATTTCAAGTTGGTCACTCAAGTTATTAAAGGTTCAAAAGCTCATCACTCAGTGACTGAATTTCAACGTAGGACTTTGCACAGAAGTGCAGAAGATCAAGTTGTCTTATTCCACAAAGATAGAGAAAAAGAAAAAAAACTATAATGAGATGAAATATGCGACATAAAGAATAGTAACAAGGAAAAACATGAGAGTTTAATGAATCTGTGAGATTACAAAGAGTGAATGCATCAACATCACTGACAATGATTTTCAGCGATAGCACCAATAGTCTTCATTTATCCTTAGCACCCTGAGGACCCCGACTACATAGCCTACAACTTCCTAAGTGGCTAAAACCAACAATCAAAGACCTTATAGACTGATGCTAGATTTGGCTTTGACTACTACCAAACCTTTTTCCAACCTAATCCTATGTCAGCTAACATTACTCAACGAGGAAGGCGGTGGCTCGGCATGCGTATCATGCATCCTAGGTATCTTAGCCTATTTAACTCAACAACCTGATCGATTGATTTGACCTTTTTACCTGGAACTCTAATCCAGACTTCAATATTACTCACCATATTATACAATATAGTACGGGGGACAGATCGCAAACATCTGTGGTAAAAGACTGCTAATCTCTTTAGGTCTTCCGAAATCTCATCAACATGTGACACAAAATATTACACAGAACTAATTAGAATATACATTTTCTTCAAAAATCTCATGCAGAACAACAAACGCACTAGGTAGTGAATTGCAATACCATTATTGGATAAGTATCCTTTTCCAATACTTATCTATACCTGACATTATATATATATATATATATATATATATATATATATATATAGAGAGAGAGAGAGAGAGAGAGAGAGAGATGGTGAAAGTTTCAAGTGTGTGACATACTACTGAAAATTCAACTTTCTTTACTACTAATTAGCTACACCAATTTTCTCCGTCCTTCAATCTTCCAAGTGAATCACAAGTCTTCAATTTTGAGCTCTGAAGTTCCAATAGCGGTGGTATTGCTTTTACAGGGTGAAGCAGCTGGCGTCACGCCCAACCTTCCCCCTTTACCCAGCTTACAACCAATTAAACAAGGTTTAGGAGTGCGTCAACCAGGAGTCAAACTCGGACCATGTGGGCATTTGGTGAGTATTCTACTATTGAACCACCATTAGACCAGCATAAAGAATAACGAAAAGGAAAGTAAGTCAGAAGAACATGACAAAAAAGCTTTTAACCTTCAAGAAAGCAAGAACGACTAGGCCAGCAATCTTTTTATGCAAAAAACAAAACAAAGAAAAAAACACAGCCACTCAAATGGACTTACTCGGTGGAACTTTAACAACAGTTGCTAGATGCCAATTATGAAAGTGATTACAGCTTGGTGATTGAACAAATACTGCAGCATCACTTAAACACTCAAGGTATACTTCACTACCAATATGATGCAGTTTTAATCCACGACCTAAAAGGATAAGAAGAAAAAAAAGAAAAAGAAAAACAGAAGAATGAAAAAAACAAAACGAAAATCAATAACAGACAAAAACAACAATACAGGGACGTGTAGTACAATGAGATCGATAATAAAAGGATAAACAATGAGAGTGAAATGAAACCAAAACAAAATATAAAAATACGTCAGAGTTATGACTTCGATTTACCCCAGTTGATCAATTAGATCAAAAGCGAAATACTCAGTGTCTGTTGATACGCTGGTTTCTAGTATGTACGCCTCAATGATACCTTAAGGTTAGTATGATTTTATTGGGTTGATAGTGACCAACGATGGAATATCTAAGACGCTAGTATCAAATGGATATACTTGCATCCTCAGTGAATGATGATGTCCCAGCTGAGACTAGAGTGGAGCACCACCTATCGTTCTAAACGCCAAAAATGTTGTCCACCAGAACACTGGGATATCAGATTTATGTTGATTTGACACTAGTAACTAGTGTGACGTATCTAGTCCTCTCTTTGGTGCAGACTGAATTCTATCAGTTAGGTTTTGCAATGTGGCCACCATTCTAGGTAGCTCGCCATCACGGTGTACATTGTTTGTGATGACATTAGATGGTTGGAGGCAATCGGCAGGAAACCTTGGACCTAGGTTTCGTTCTAGTTGGCACTCGTCAGCAAGGCGTATCTGTGACTAGACTCATCACACTAGTTACTAGTGTCAAATCAAAATACCTACTACAGTCATACAGGAGGTCAATCGCGAACCCGAATAGCTCAGTGGTAACGTCTCTGACTGCAGCACTGGGTGACGCGGGTTCGAATCTCAGAAGGGAAATGAGTTCCTTCAAGGTTGCACATACGCCTTGCTGACTGGTGAGTGCCAACTAGCACGAAACCTAGGTCCAAGGCTTCCTGCCGACTGCCTCCAACCATCTAATAATATCAGAGTTATCTCTTTAGCAACGGGTGTTATTTGATGGATTTCCTGTTGATCGATTATATTGGCCCGAAATGCTTTGTCTTTGCAGACACATCAGACGCGGCGCGCTTTCACGACTTGACTATTTGTCATTATTAAGCAAATAACATTGATAAGAATTCATCGATAAAGGTCTTTTGAGTGGTGGTAGTAATTAAAAGAGATTTTTAATGAATTATTGAAAAAAAAGATAAGATTTTATTGGATATTTTAAAGGATAACCATTGGCCGATAATACTTATTACTATAGGTGTTGCAACATCATGCATGAACTGATACAATAAATACATTGATTGATATGCATATACTAAAATCGAAATCTACAGTAATATGAAGGCACACATGATGTCAATAATATTAATACACACCTGATCAAACATAAAAGTCCAAGTCACTAAACGGTTGACAACATATATATATATATATATATATATAACGTGACAAAGTAGGATTAAGTACTTTACGCCTGACAGACAGAAACTAAATAACACAAGCCTGAACAGAAAACTATCAGCTGTTTAAAGAAGCTTATATGGTGATAAAAAAATACAGATTAGTAAACAAAGAATATCCTTGGATCCCAAATGGATGTCATTTATTAGACCACTGAACACCAGGGAGTACTGGACTATAAAGAAGAAAAGACCGAGGAGGCTGAAAGGAATGTTTATTTGGTGAAACGTATGGTACATAGCTAAATTTGGTATACCATATTTTCAAACTGCCATTTGCACATCATTTACCACATCCTTGACGAATTGGTCGAATATCGTCACATTCGATAGCTTCTTGGATTCTGTATCATATGGCAACATTCTTCTCACGGTTCTCTTCTTTGATTGCTCTTTCCAGCGCGCAAAACATATTGTTACTTTTCTGAATTCGTTTCTGATATACTACTTATATCAGATTATAAGTAGCACTCACCACAGGACAGCTATTTCATCCTAGATCAGGACTCATCGGCAGTACTCACTCACCAGGTTTCGAACCCGAAACCTTCCGGGTTACAGGTCAAGCTAGTAGGCCGTTCAGCCGCTGGGACCCGACTCAATGCACAACCGATGATTTCCAGCTTATACCAATTCGTGATTTTAGCGCTATTTGCATCAGCTAATGTCATCGGCGAGTATTTGTCTTCAGTCCCGACAGGGTGGACTCCGTTGGTTAAAACTTCTCACTAGCACTCTAGGAAAATTCTTTCTGCAGCCAGTCACTGGCGAGCATCAGATTAATTTTCGAGAGTGAGTTTGTTGGCGTTTGATTTGTTTCAAGCGTGATCATGGATTGATATCAATTAAAGAGGAGTTGAAAACCAGGGGGTACTGGTGGTCACGCTAAAACCGCGAATTGAAAAAAGTTAGAGCCGATTGGGCCATTGGATTCCAGTTCACGTGACTGAATGGTTAACGAGCTTTGCCTTGTAACCTGAAGCTCCTGGATTCGAACTGTGGGAAGGCGCGTACTGCTTAAGGTTCCCAAATAAGAATGAAACACCTGTCTAGTGCTCTGTGGATTTCAGTGGTTCTCTAACTGACATCAATCACTGACTAAACTTGAAACAAACTAAATCCCTACAAACTAATTCTTGAATATTACAAATTTCCTGCTGATTAATTATACTGGACTGAAATGCTCGGTCTTCGTTCACCTTTCGACTACTAGTTCAGACGCTTTGATACTACCTTAGAATGGACATGGTATTACTTGATTAGTGCTTTCTAGCAGCAGAATCTAAGATACGTGTTTCCTCCTCAGTCCAGTTAATATAATCAACGGAAAATTCAAAATAGTTCGAATAACCTGTTGAAGAGAAGACGGTCATTTTAGCCCAATGAATTACCCTTAAAAGTTCGAGTCTCGGTTCAAGTCTCAGTTTTGAAATTCATCGATCACTGAGGATAATGGTATATCCAACTGATGAGTCCTAGACAGAATGAAACACACACACGTATTGGATTTCACTACAAGCAACCAGCAACAAAATGACATGAAGATAACTTCCTTTTCCAGCTTCTACAGTTATACATTTGTGAATTTGTGAAAATCAACTAATAACACAGAGATATTTTGTTTTATCACAGTGAGTCATTATCTTGAGTAATAATACAACAATTTTCTTTAAGAATAAAACGACGTTTATAACTGAATACTCTTAAATTACAACTTGAAGTCCCTTTACACCATAACAATCTTTGCTCTCTCTCTCTCTATCTTACTCCTCTTCCAAGTAATTTACATTACACCATTATTATTATTATTGCTATGTATGTTCCTTCACATGCACGTTAAGATAACCCTATTTGTTTGTTGTAGTTGCCTTATCTCTCATTCAACTGATTATCAATCACCCCTTGTAACCTGAAATTATAAATTTCACGAGCATATTCACTCAAGTGTATTTAAGTTATTATTAAGACAAATCATTTTTTTTTAAATGCTCTTAAATTCACCAGTTTCAATGGACAAGTCTTGCTAGTCTGTGGCTGTAGATATTGTTAAATGGTCCTATCTGTTCCTGGAACTTCACAGCTCTAGCTTGATACCGTACTTTCCAAGTGCGTCCGCAGTATAGTGGTAGAATACTGGTCAACCACGGAAGTGGTCCGGGGTTCGATCCCCCGACCGACACACCTCTTTTACCTCGCTAAGTCAATAATAAGACCGGTAAAGAGGGGGACGGTTGGGCATGAGGCTAGCAACCTCATCCCACGAAAAAAAACATTACTTTTTGATGTGGTTGTGTTCTCTGAGCTGGATACTTCAATTTGAAGTAAGTGCTGAAGATGTCGCCTAGTAGGGCGATGAAAGCTTCGCAAATTGACTATCCAGCTCAGAGAACACAACCACATCAAAATCATCCACCTGAGCTACAAATCTTCTTTATCATATCTAAAAACAATACTGCTACTGAAACTTCTAGGTTCTAGCTTGAAGACATATGTCCCACTGGGAAAGAAAATGAATCAAATAAGAAATAAGTTTCATGGTAGTACACGCCGCCTATCTCATCAGAGATACCTCGTCTTTACTTCCATTCTAATGGCGTTCATCAAAAATGGCGTATCACCAGGGTATGCTTTAACACTCATTAAAATTAACTGAAGAGAGGATAAAAGTAATGGCAAGGTGTTTTCGCGCATAGTATATAGCAAACACCACACAACAGATATTCCACCTGTGTAAAAATAAATAAAGTTGATAAAAACACCTGTAAAATAGCCAGACAGGACATCTGACACAGCAGCATTACAGCATTCCCTTAAGCAGCACGTAATACAGAGTTACATAACACCAAACTACCTGAGGAAATTTTAATCCTAATTAACCACCTCTGCTCCTCTATCATCATAATAATACCAAGGTGGGCGGACACACGAAAAGGAGGCAAAATTGTTTTGACAATAGCTTCTATACTCACCCATTAATTGCCTACCATTTTTCCAATCACATTCGATTCTATTCCATTCTATATACATATATATATATATATATATAATTTTGTTTTTACTGGCTATATTATATATTTATTGATTTATGACTGCTGGGTCTGAAGAAGTTATTGAAAACAATTACTCTCTAAATTCTATCTTATTTTGAATGCCTTACAGGAATTTTTAAATTATATATATATATATATGTATAGGATGGTATGTCTGATGTTTTGGCAGAATATACTGTCATAAGGAGGTATTTTCAATGTTTCACTCAAAATGAATATGACTGTACTATGGCATGACTGGTGCTGAGGTGTTAATGAAAATGAATGATTGTGATTAAAGCTTAAAAAGTGAACTTGGATTATTGATTTTTGTGAGGATTTGGATGAAGTTCAACGTTATTTAGAGTTCATTGAAAACATGGACAGTTGTTTCGTCCTATTTTGGGACTCTTCATCAGTACACATCCACGACTTCACCAGAGACTGAATCCGAGACCGAGTTCATTGACTATTCAGCCACTCGGACCAGAATTCAATGACTTGAGGGATTCCAACTTTATCAATTCGTGATATATGGCTACCCCCTTAACCAATGGCCTTTGATTAGTATCCACACTCCACTTTGACGTGGTGAACTCTACTAGTCACGAGTTCTCAGTGCAGCCCTAGAACACCCATCAAGTAGCTATATATGAGCTGGGAATTAATATTTAGTTTATGGATTTTGTTTTCAAGAGTTGATTTGTAAGGAATTTCCCTATGGATTGATATCAGTTAGAGAACCATTGAAAACCAGCAAGGAGTACTGGACAGCTGTTTCCTCCATCCTAGTTTGGGAATCATCGACAGTACACACCCACCGCCAGGGTTCGAACCCAGGACTTTGCAGTTACAAGGCAAGCGCGTATACCATTCAGCCACTGGTACCCAATTCAATGGCCCAAGTGTTTTATATTTTGTCAAATGGTTATAATTTTAATGCGAATGAAATTAAGTAAACACAAAGGTCAAACAGGATTATCGTAGGGGAAGACAGGTAGAGTTTTTTGTGTATTTTGCAGGTAAAATGAGATAAACAGACATTAGTAAGATGTAATATTTCTCAGTGAATTTACTAATGTACAGGAGAATGAAATTTTAGATGTATACGACACAATGTTAATATACTTTCTCATACAACAGTCCCTTTCCTCATTCATATACTCTTCTTAAAGAAGGCCATTTTACTCCATCTCTTCCCTACATGTGATTCTCATAATTGAGGGAACTTCTTTGAAAATAGCATTTCGTCTCTTTGCTTCCATTACTTTCGAGGCACACTAGAATCATTTTCTTTATTATTATTATGATTATTACAAGCGGCAATCTTCTACCGACGATCTCCATTAACAGCTTATAAAAGCATATGAGTTATGTTTATCCATATGAGATAATATCTTCCCTTATTCCATAACACTTGTCCTAATCACACAAAACAAGTGATTTTTATTAGAAAATGCATAAATGACAATTACCGCTTTTTCCGCTTGTCAGCATATAAGACGACTCTGCGGATATACGTATAGTAAGTATGTAATGCCGACTACTACTTCAGTCTGCTTAACATATATAAGTCGATAATAACTTTTACATTAGGAAGTAGTGGAAATGATAGATTTGCATAAAAGCTATCGTTTGTCCGCATTAAAAAAAACAAGTATCAAAAACAAACATCATTGCCCTTACTTATCTTTACAAAATCTTTCTAACGGAATCTTCATACAGACAAGTATATAGTCAGCTTTCTATATATAACCACAGTATAATGATATCCCTGTACTAGTAAATCTATGGGAAGTAGTCACAGGAACTCCCGACATATATATATATATAAATCTTCCAGAAGCCACTGCAAGTCAGATGTATTAAGAAACCGGAATAAAGTTGTAACTCATTTGCCCATTTATAAGCAACTTACTATGGTTGAATCAGAAACATAAATAGCATTTTTTTTTATTCCTTCACGTTCCCCAGTGGAACATAGGGCTTCAAGCTAGAGGCCTGAAGTTTCTGTAGCAGGGTTTATTTTTACAGGATGAGGTTGCTAGCCTCATGCCCAAACTTTCCTCTTCACCAGCTTTAGTTCTGGCTTAGCAAGGTAAATGAGTGCGCCGGCCGTTGATCGAACCCCGGACCATGTGCATGGTCAGCGAGCATCCTTACCACTATGCCACCGACGCACATAAATAGCATAGACAAGTATTATCACTGACCCTCTTAGAACTGATTGAGTTGTAGTTTAGTATATAAATGTACGACAAATTTCGGAGGTGCCTTATACAATGTAAACAAACTGTGTTAAAACTAAAAGCACCACACAAATTCTCAGAGCTAGAAAACAACTGTTCGACAGTGTAGCATAGTAGACCATCTATATTACAGCTGACAGTATTGCCAGACGGTAAGTTTCTCATCCACTCTGATACAGAACCATATATACTAGGCTTTAATTTAATCCAGGATGCGCATTTCGTCCTATTCGGGACTCGTCATCTGGATGTACCTGCATTTCCTAGTAAGTGATGATGTTCCCACCGAGGCTCGAACCCAGTCGACCCTTAATCGACGGGAAAATCTCAAATTCACTTAAATATACTAGGCTTGGTTATCATGACTATGACACAGTGTCATGGTCACGTTTTGATATCAAACGTCGAATTAAACCTACTTTACATGACATGATTTGATAAAAAAAAATGAGATAATAGGATCCTTAATGCAATAAATTTAGGTTTTTTTTGGTGCTTGCTTTCTAGTTCCTGTAGCGATGTGTTTGAGTTTCTTGGTAGGGTCGCTAGCTCCACGTTCAACCTTCCCTCTTCCTGCGAGTCTAGCGCCGGCTAGTAAACTAGACCGTTGACTGGAATCTCAATGGGAAATAACGAGTTGGGTGTGGGTCCAAGGGTGAAATGGAGAAGGCTGTTTGAATAGACAATCGTGGAGCCGGCTACATAAGGACTGTAGAGAGTATGGTTAAGTGAAGATGTGCTTCTGAAGCCTTATTTTCTACTTGAAACCCAAGAGAATAATAATAATACTAGTATAGTGATGCAATAGGTAGTATAGTCAATACTTCCTGTGAAAATAAATCCAAATATATAATGACAGAAGTATGCACATATATGAATTTATTACAAAGAGAATGATTAGAGCAGTTGACTGACCATAAAACAAAACAATAAAACAAAAAAGTAGAACACTAACCAATATGTCTTCTTGTCATTTCAACTTGTAATGGTCGATTAACATGACTTAAACTGCCTAAACTGAATCGATCAGAACGATAACATGGTTCAGTGAAACCATCTATTGTTAAGGTAGGCCGACCAGCATGAAATGCATCACCAACTCGTGTATTCAATTCATAATAGAATACACTACACCAATATTGTACATCTGAAAAGGTGAAATCTAATACAGATGAATTTGAATCGAGTAGGCTATCAAATTCTTCAGATGAATGAAGACGATTTGGACTTCTTTCATCATTTGGACCAGTTGGATCAAGAAAATGTTTTTCTAGGAAGATAATAAACAATAACAAGTATGTTATTTAGACAGTAATGAGAGAAAAAAATCGTTTAAAATTTATCAATAGCGAATGCGAATACGGATCTCACTGCTATACCACCACCAAAAACTAAAAAGAAACTGAATTTTCAAAAGTAATGTCAAGTTATTTAATTTGTGGATGGTGACTAGCAGTGAAATCCAGGATGCGCATTTCGTCCGATGTGGGACTCGCCATCTGGATACACCTGCATTTCCCAGTGGATGGTGATGTTCCCAAGTGATCTAGCGGATAACGCTTTGGCGTTTGAAACTATGGGCACTGGGTTCGAGCCTCGGTGGGAACATCATCACTTACTGGGAAATGCAGGTACATCCAGCTGACCACGAGTCCCAAATAGGACGAAATGTGCATCCTGGATTCCACTGCTAGTAGTCACCATCCACAAATTAAATTCTAATTAAATACGCAGACATCGTCGAAGCATCTGCTCAAGAAGCCCACATGTCAACCTGAGACCGAGCACTTCGGTCCAATCAATTTACGGGAAAAAATCTCAAATTCAATTAAAGTAATGTCAAGTCAGTTCAGAGAGTTGACGAATGGATCAACGAACGGTTTACTACAGATTATCATCAACAGCCGTCTCTGCTGAAGATTAACTTGTCAGGCAAGGATAAACAACGACGAACTCTCTCTGTCAGCAAACCAACCAACAAGCTACTGTCTAACAAATATGGCAAAGAAAGTGGGGATGAATTGAACAGACACTGAGACAACCACTCAGTGAAACCACACACCAGATCCTTGAACAGGAACGAAATACGAAGCCACTTGTTGGGTATACGAGGATAACAAGGAAGAGGGAACAAAAGCTTGTGGCTATTCGTGGATTCAACTGGAAATAACTTCAGAGGACAGAGTATAATGAAAGTGTGTTGTTGATGTCCTACATCTTACTTGAATCTCAAGGGACGAATAATTAATAATAATAATAATAATTCAAATCACACCACCAACGTATTCATCAATAAACTTTTAAATGGTAGCAGTGTTTATCATTTAGTTGTAAGGTAAGCGTAAACAATAAAGCCTTAGTTACTATATGCACAATAATGTAGCAGCACTGACACGCGCCTATAATTTATATGTAAAACGAAGTTCGGATCTTTAAAACAATAAGTGAACTTCGAACTACTAAGCCTTTTTGGAAGGACACATGGATTACCCTTTTTGAATACCGTTTCATCTAACTTTACTGCTTGGTGGAAAACTGAAACGCAGATATTGATGATGACAAAGTATACGATGATGGAAATGAAGGGAAGACGTTAAGAACCAGTGAATTTTTGCAAATAAACACACAAATACGATGAAGTATTTACAAGACATTTTTGTAAATATAATTTACACTTGGGATCAATTTAGTCAACCCTAAGAGGTGAATGGATCAGTCAAAATTTCTTTCTTTTACATAAAAACAAACTAGATTAAAGGTAGTAACTGCTGTCCCGACCGATAGTTGCTATCTTGACGTGGTAGATGCACTTGTATATCTCAATGACTCAAAGAGCTACATCGGTTGGAATTGATGTTCCTGCAGATCCTAAAGTACCAAAAAGGTCGTTTGGATGGTGATTAGACTACTGAAAGCAGTTACCATCATAGTATATTCCGTCTACACTATGTTCGAGTTCTGTGGAAGGAAGTCGTACGGCTAGGGAATAGGGATGTAACAGCAGTAAGGTGTTTCTTTCAGATGATCAGCAAGCCAGTTTGTGGTCTGTCTCTGCTCTGGTTAGGGGGGGGGGGTTAGAAACAGTTGACACCCAAGATTGTACATCCCAGTTTACCTTGCCGCAGTCTGTAGCTGGTATAAGATCTTGGTGCGAACATAACTCCTAAAGCCACTTCTAGTAGACAGTTTGTGACATAACTGACTGAGTTTCAACATAGAACTTTGCACAGAAGTGCAGCGGTTCAGGTGTGTGATCGGTGCGAAGCAGCTGTTCCCTAAAGTTTAAGATCACAACACTGATACTCCTGTTTCAGGTACTCTCAGAAGAAATCAACTTCCACAAAGTGAGCAGCTAGGAGGTAGTACCCACTCACACACTTCTATAAGTACGGAAAGCTTTCCATTCCAACGTTCTTCATACATTTACTCATAAAGTCCACCATAACTGACTTTAACGGCTTAGAAACCGACTTGTTACCAGGGAAAGTCTTGTTGACTTAGAGTTTGGGGATTACATTGTCTTCCTAGGTAAAGACGTCGGAAAAATGCAGACTTATGAACACCCTGAGAAGAGATTTCCGAATCATTGGCATGAGATTTGCTCCTGTAAAATGTAAAATGACGCTACAGGACTGGACTGCGCCGACTTCTGGTGAATTGGATAAACATGTGAACCACTTCACCTATTTGTGAAGTTGCATTGACCCAAATGGACTGGTTGCTGATGAAATCTCAACACGGATACGAAATGCTCGTGCAGCATTTGCCAACTTACGTCATCTCTGGCGCAAAGGTGATATCCAAATATCCATCAGAGGACGTATGTACTCCTCAGCAGTTAACTCCTCTGTGAGACATGAACATTGAGAGTGAAAAACATTACAAGACTAGCTGTTTTTGATCATAGGTGCTCGCCTTCTGTCTCAGGCATTAAGTGTTATGTTATGGTAATACGTAGGTTAGACTTAAAGTATTTAGTAAAGAGAGAAAATCAATCGATGTGGTTATGATTCGACATCGATTGAGATGGTTAGGACACTTGTTACGCATTCGTACCATGACCTTTCTCGTCGAGCAATATTGGCTGATATAGGATTAGATTGGAAAGAGTCGGGAGTTGGTCAAATCAAAACCTAACATCAGTCTGTGAAGTCTTTGTCTATTGGTTTGAACTAGCCACGTAGAGAATAGTAAACTGACTGGTTAGAATCCTTGAGATGATAAGAACCAATGGCTGAAGATGCTTGGTGATACGGCTAAAAAAAATCGTTCTCCATGGTGAGGATACATTCATTCTCTGGGATCCACCATATCCCCTAAACCGTCATGTGTCACCATGTTACTATTCTTTCTCATCCATGTTTCCTTTTTTTTCTTTCTCTTTTGTCAACCTTTGTCTGCTGCATGGAGGAGTGTAGTAACTTGAACTGCTGAAAGTTGAAGCTTAGTCAGAGAGCCAGACAGTTAGTCATTCCTTTTCAGCAATCACTACCAGCTAAAGTGAGACTATTGCGCAAACAACAACGAAACGATGCACACCAATTTCGATGTAATTCTACAAAAATCTCTTCTTCTTCTTCTTACAGTGCACAGAATCATGAACACTGAAGACTGAGTACAGAAACACTACAACAACATCAGTCACATCCACTTCACCACTTTCTAACTCCCCACCACCACTGTAGTACAATTCTATGCTTTACATTCAGTCAGTATTAAATGGTTGAGAGAAGAAAAATAAGCATGATTAAGTCTTCAGTTTACCTTTTATGCTTATTGACAATTATAGCAAGTCTTAAAATAGACATAGATGATTATCTTAAGGTATTCTTGTTACCAATCAGTCAATCAATAAATTAATTAATCAATAAATTGATCAATCAATCAAACAGCAAGCTAAAATCCATCATTCTATAATAGAAAAGTGAACTTTAAGAGAGAGACAGAAAGAAAGAAGGAATCAGACGATTAACATGAGAAGAAGACACTACAAAAAAACACCTACAAACTCACCAGAATTAGACGAATTTTTTCGATCAATTAATTTACTTGAATTATTATTATTCCCTGTATAATTATCTAATGATGGATGTTGTATTTGATGATTATGTGGCATTGTTAATGAACCTTTACGTGATTTATTAATATTATTTGTCATTGTTATATTAACCGATGTATTATTACTATTACTATTGATAGCATTACTATTAATAATACGTTCAGTTAATGAGAATGGTCCATTCATTGTTTTCTCAGCAGATGCTTTAGCTAAAGCAGCTGCCATTATAGCAGCTTGATTTGTTGTAGTCGTTGGGACTGGTACATGCGCTGGTGTTGTTGTTGTTGATGATGTTGTGGTTGTAGGTGTTGTTATTATCTCTGATGGCAGAGTTTTACCAGTTGTCGATACTCCTGATAATGCTGAAGAGGATTTAATACTAGACTGAATCTGTGGTAAGGAATTTGTACAATGTTGAATATCCGATTCATGCTTATCAGTATTATTAATATTTGTAGAAGTGACACTGTTGTTATTATTATTATTTTCAACTAATTCATAACAATCTGAGAAAATAGAACCTAAAAAAAGAAATTAAAGCAGAATAAAAATGAATAAATAACTAGACTATACAATTACTTATTTCAATTAATCAGTAGTATGTAGTTTTAAGCATTTAAAGTTTACTTTCTTGATTGCCATTTACGACAGATATCAAGCACTTCGGCCTGAATAATTTCGGTTTCCAAAGGAAACTGTGGAAATTGCAAATTAATATGTAAATTTAATGATATTAGATGGTTGGGGGCAGGCAATCGGCAGAAATCATTGGACCTAAGTTTCGTGCTAGTTGGCACTCACAAGTCAACAAGACGTATCAGCTGTCCAGTACTCCCAGGTGGTTTTCCAGTGGTTCTCTAACTGATGTCAGCTCATGATGAAATCCTCCATACAATCAAACAAAATCCCTACAAATCCAATACTTGAAAATTAATCTAATGCTCACTAGCGATGGCCCTATTCAGGCAATTAACCTGGGGTTCTAGTGGGAAGCCGTGACCAGTAGGGTACAGCAGGTTGAAGATGAGGCAGTAACTCATCGAAGAAGACATAGGGGAAATGGTCGCACTATGTCGTGAATTGGCAGAAGTTAGAATTCAAAGACCATTGGATAGGGTCCCAGTGGCTCAATGGTCTACGAGCTCGCCTTGTAACCAAAAGGTATTGGGTTCGAACCCTGGTGGTGGGTGCGTACTGACGAAGGGTCCCAAACTAGGACGAAACAGATGTCGAATACTCCCACGTTTTCCAGTGGTTCTTTAACTGATATCAGCTCATGATGAAATCCTCCATGTATATGCAACCGTGAAGGAACTCATTTCCCTTCTGACATTCGAATTCCCGTCACCCAGTGCTGCAGTCAGAGACGTAATCATTGAGCTATTCGGGCTATTCGCGATTGACCTCCTGTATGACTGTAGTGGATACTTTGATTGGACACTAGTAACTAACTAGTGTGATGTGTCTAGTTCTATCTTTGGTGCAGACTGAATTCTATCAGTCAGGTTTGCAATGTGGCCACCAATCTAGGTAGCTCGCCATCATGGTGAACATTGATTTGATGATATTAGATTGTTGGAGGCAATCGACAGGAAGCCTTGGAACTAGATTTCGTGCTGGCTGGCACTCGTCAGCAAAGCATATCAGCGAATTGCCGGTTTGACGTATTGTGTCACTGGTTTACCCAAATACCTATCCATAAATTCGTTGGTTTGAAGTGATTCGGCTCTCTGAGCTGATTCAAATCAGATACCCGGTTAATGAATCCAGCCCCAGACAAGCGAAACGACAGTCCGAATTGTTCAGATCACTTCGATCTGGCTGGCAAATCCTACTGGTCGATGTGAGACGTATGCAATTACTCATCTCGATTAATCAGTAGTATATAATAATAAATTTAATCTTTTTTTCAAATAAATCATTTCTATGTGCATACTTACATACTTAAAGACATACCTGCGCACTTTTGTATAGACTAAAATACTCAATTATTCATTAATGAGTATTTTTCATGATATATGGTGTGATTGAGATGACAACAAAAGTAAAAACAACAAAACAATAAAATTGAAATATGCGTAAATTTTTTTGTTACAGTCACAGTCATTGAATTACAATATATATATATATATATATATATTCACTTAAAACAGTAAAAACATTGCTCAGTCAGTTGCTCATCCGCTTAAACGCTTAACTTTCAACCAGTGGATGACGGGAGTCAACCTACGCGCTTCACAACTAATCCTTACAAAAATCAACTATTGAAAATTAATCTGATGCTCGCTAGTGACTTGCTACAGGACGGACGGAGTTTCCTGTAGTTCTAGTGAGAAGCCGTGACCAGTGAGGTCCACCCAGACGTCAAGTGCGAGGATGAATATCCCACCTACGACAATGGTTGGAGTCGCGCTAAATCACGAATTGGTAGAAGTTAGAATTCATGGGCTGGCCATTGAATCGGATCCCAGTGGCTGAATGGTATACGAGCTCGCTAGCCTTGCAACCGGTAGGTCCTGGGTTCGAACCCTGTTGGTGGGTGCTTACTGCCGATGATTCCCAAACTAGGATGAAACAGCAGCTGTCCAGTACCCCTTGCTGATTTTCAATGGTTCTCTCACTGATATCGATCAGTGGTCAACTCATCAAAACAAAAATAAATCTAATCCTTACAAACTAACTATTGAAAATTAATGAGATTTAAACAATAAGATAGAGTATCACTAACCCTCAAACACACGTCATTGACCTAACTGAATGGATAAGCAGCAAGTTAGTTGTTGACTGACATTCCATTTGCATGTTAATTATACACAGAGGCTAAGAATCACACTTATTGTATGACAGTTTATATCAGTATCCAGTTACTCAGGTTGAAATAGGCAAAGCAAGACTTAAAGTTAAAACCTCTATTTGGATGAAAGTCAACTGAACTACGTTAAAGAATAGAGATCCTTCAGTGGGGACGGACGGACGGATGCATTAATGACTTTGGGAAGAGCAATTCTGCTCAAAAGCAAATTCGAGTCCTTAACACAAGTCTAACCGTATTCATTCGCTAACCTAACCTGAGATGAACTGGATATCCCGTTATTTAACACTTATTATTTCATGCTATTTACCTACTTTCACTAACTTACACAGTTTGAGTGTCTCAAGTTCATTGGTGAGTTCTTTTTTCTCCCTAGATCATTATACTCTGGTTTGCAGCCAAGTAAGTAACACTAGGCCAATGAGTTGTATATTTCCACAATATTACTTGTAACCAGTAGGGTGCAGTAGGTCGGGTGTGAGGACAAATACTCGCCGAAGACATTGGCTAGGGGTCGCGCTATGTCGCGAATTGGCAGAAGTTAGAATTCATGGGCCATTGGATCGGGTCCCAGTGGCTTAATGGTCTACGAGCTCGCCTTGTAACCAGAAGGTCCTGGGTTCGAATCCCGGTGGGTACGTACTGCTGAAGAGTCCCAAACTAGGCTGACGAAACAGCTGTCCAGTACTCCCAGGTTTTCCAATGGTTCTCTAACTAATGTCAGCTCATGATGAAAATCCTGTAACCAATCAAATCCCTACAAACCAACACTTGAATTCGCTAAGTGTCTTAAGATCATAAAATTTTACTTCTACCGAATATACTACATGGAAGGTGTTTATCCACTTAGTAACAAATTAACAGCGGATAGGAAATTTTATAACATGTACCCAAATGCATCATCGAAAAAAATGTGAAATATATATATATATATTAAGTAATAAATTATTTAACAGTTATGGTTTATTTATATCTAACAAATCAATAAAAGGAAAGATGGTTCAGTTTATGCACTAACTGCATAGATAAACACGAAGGTATAGCTCGCATTTCCGATAATTGTGATTTATATTCATTGTCCAATCTTGATTCACACTTTTTTATTGAAATTTAATGACATTATCTAATTAATAAACAAACCAACTAATTAAGTTTAATAATAATTGCATATAATTTTCAAGTATTGGTTTTGTAGAGATTTTATTTGATTGGTTGATTGGAGGATTTCATCATGAGCTGATATCAGTTAGAGAATCATTGGAAAACCAACCTGGGAGTACTGGACAGCTGTTTCGTCAGCCTAGTTCGGAACTCTTCACAGTACGCACCCTCATCACAGGGTTCAAACCCAGGGCCTTCTGGTTACAAGGCAAGCTAGCTCGTGGACCATTAAGTCACTGGGACCTGATCTACAAGCTCGCCATGTAACCATAAGGTCCTGGATTCGAACATCACAGTGAAGATGCGTACTGATGAGGAGTCCCCTACTAGGATGAGACAGCTGTCCAGTACTCCCAGGTTTTCCAATGGTTCTCTAATTGATATCAGCTCATGATGAAATCCTCCAACTAATTGGATAGAAGTATTTTGGTTGTCTAACTACATTTTGTACAGAATATATGTATGTTTCAAGGAGTATAACGCTAAAGTGAGAAGTGAAAAACACAAAATGAATACTAAATATATCTTAAATTATATTATATAGTATGGTCAAGATACAAAAATGCGGAAAGATTCTAATCCCCTGGAACTAGTACAACATAAAGTTGTCTTTCTTTTAATTTCTTGCGTTCTGAGGCTAGACATATTGGCTTGAAGGTGTGAAGTTTCAGTAGCAATGGAGTAAATATGCCTCATGCACAACGCCCCCCCATCTTATACAGGGTTATCACCAATTAGTAAGCTAGATAAGATTTAGGAGTGAATCGATCGAGAATGGGACCTGGACTTCCCATGGGTCTGGTGAACATTCCTACCAGTGAACCACCGACAAACACGACCTGAAGTTGACAATCAATGATTATTTTTTCACCCTCAACAAACGTAGTAATAATTAGACATTTTGAAATTAATTTTCTATAGTTTGGTTTGTAAGGGTTAGTTCTGTTTTAACGAGTTGATCACGGATTGATATCAGTGAGAGAACCATTGAAAACCAGCAATGGAGTACTGGACAGCTGCTGTTTCATCCTAGTTTGGGAATCATCGGGAGTACGCACCCACCACCAGGATTCGAACCCACGACCTTCCGGTTACAAGACAAGCTCGTATACCATTCAGCCACTGGGACCCGATTCAATGGCCAACACATGAATTCTATCTACTACCAATTCATGATTTAGCGCGACTCCAACCATCGTCGTAGGTCGGACATCCATCCACACATGTGACATCTAATTGGACCTCACTGGTCACGACTTCTCACTAGAACTCCAGGAAACTCCTTCCTGTAGCAAGTCACTAGTGAGCATCATATTAATTTTCTATAGTTTGGTTTGTAAGGGTTAGTTATGTTTTTACGAGTTTGGCCACGGATTGATATCAGTTAGAGGGAGTACTAGACAGCTGCTGTTTCATCCTATTTTGAAATTATTAAACTGAGTACTCCTAACTGGTATTTTTAAGTGAATTAAACCTTTCGAGTGAGTCAGTCAACTGTAAATGTCATCTATGCTTCATCAAATTAAATAGAATATTTCAGTAAAAGTC